CCCCAAAACCCCAAAACCCCAAAACCCCAAAACCCCTCTAAGCCTAAAAAATCTAAAAATCAAAAAAACTTATTCTAATCGTCTCAATTATCATTAACCCAGTCTTCCAAATTCTCATTCATGGCTATTCCAACCTTTATATCCTGGTATTTCCCAATGTGAAGCCCAATTAGGGTTCTTTCCTGTTCAGAAGGCTCTTGTAGGAGCTCTATAGGGGATTAAGAGGATTTTACTCCGTTTAGGTACATTTAGCTTGTAGATTGGGGCTCCAGATTGGCCTGCATATGAAGTGATATTTTCATACATGATCCAGCCTGAGGAAATATTAGAAATTTGTAAATTTTAGGTTTGGGAGAGGATTTAGAATCGTTTGGAGGTGTTTTTATGGGAGGGAATTGGATTTGAAGCCAAAAGGTGTATTTTAGGAGAGTAGGAGAGAAGTGCAAGATGAAAGAAGAAAGAAAAAAGGGAGAGAAAATTTGGGAGTGATGATTTTTTGAAGAAATTGGAAGTTGAGGATTATTGATTTGATTAACATCCGTTGAACTTAAAATTGCTTAGAATTACTAAAATAGATTAATCCAAGTCAGATATAACTATCTTCTCAATTCCAATCAGAACATATGAAAAAATTACCAATTTCCATGAGCTCACAATCTCCTATACCAAAATTATCCTCTAACCTACCTTTGGAGACCAACTGAGTTCCATTAATCGTATGTCCCACAACCTCGATTTCTTCCTTCTTCTCCCCTTGCCCTATCACAGGTATATGGCTTTTAATATTCTCCCAAAAATTGTTCTTCAGGCCTCTTCCTCATTCCTTTAGCAACTTTTGCTTATCAAAAGTTGCAACGGCGATATCATATTTTCAAAATTTATCATACCTAATAAAAATCACACTTAAAGACCTACAATGGATGGATTTTAAAAGACATTAGGGGGATTTTAAGCCTGACCAGAGCCCATTCTCCATCACTATATGGGATAAGTTGGAAACCTTACATCTCAGACTCTTCCAAAGTGATGTAAAAATTAGACCTTTGGGCATATTCTATCTCATCACTAGATTTTGAGATGCTGTCACTGCTAAAATTTGGTTAAATTCCTTCAAAAATAGTGACTTACGCTTCAAAATCAGGCTGTAATTCGTTAACAAAGATATGGGCTCAGGTCAGTACGAATATTTCATCAGTATCGGGATCTATCTGGAGGCTTCCAGTACCAAATTGTTTATGGACCTTCTTGTCTCTTACAGCAAATTCAGCCTCTATTTGCCCAACAGTGGCCAGATGAGACTGGAGTCTAAATTTTACGAGACAATTTACCTCACATTATCAGTTTTCTTGATTATTTGCTTCTATATTTTTTATGAAACTAGGCTCTTGGATTGTTAAAAATTTAGCAAAATTTATGGATAAAACTAACCTTATTTCTGCCTCGCAGGCTTTGAGTTAGTATACTTCACATGTTTCTGGTTGATAATATCAAACATCCCATCTGAGGGTTTCTTGACAAATTCATCAGAGATGTCCATGTCCTAATAGAGATCAGAAGGAACAAAGAATATTGGAATTACTTCATTTTGAGTGTCAAATTCATCTCGTTTAGAATCTGATGAGCTTTGAGTCCTATATTTCACTAATAAAAGCATTCGTTGTAAAAATATAAAGAATAATTTATCATAAGTACTTTAAAATCCTCTCTAAAGGCCAAATTCAATCTCCAAACCGCTCTAAAGACTCATCTAGCTCTCAAAATGTCCAAATTGTTAATAAAATTTACTTCATATCTGCTTTTGGTATCTTCTTGGCCTTTCCTTTCTGCTCAACCGTGCTATTTCACCCCATGATCTTAAACAAAGTAAATAAAATTAATTAAAAGGTCTTCTTTCAGGGGTTTTGGGGTTTTGGGGTTTTGGGGTTTTGGGG